ATGCCGAGAGTGTTGAACTGCTTAAAGAGGTACGGGTCTTTCTTTTCACTGAGACAGATAAGACAAGATCATCGAGTTGAGTTGTTCAAATTGGCTCCTCGTTTTATCGGTACAGGAATTAGATAACTCTATCCTTTGGAACGAAGTTAAATCAACCGTTGATGCTCCGATGCAACTCATGCTTTTGTCGGAATGGAAAACGTGGAAGCACGAAATTACTAAATGGTTCTCGATATCTCCTTTAGGCGGCAATGTCGGAGAAATCGATATGCAGAATAGCGAAGGCCTCTTTAATCAAGATCTCCAAGCTACCCGTAAAAGGCCGAAACTCGAGATTCGTCGTGCGGAGACACATACCTCACAAGAAGGAACTGCTGTTGGAATCGACTCGGAATTCTTTACTCGTCGAGACAGCACCATTACCGATGATGTAATGAAAGAGGCACCTCTTCTGGATGAAGATGCAGTGATGATGAATACACCAAAGAATGGTTTGGACCAATGGGATAGCATTGTTGTTGAAGCCGCCCCACCCGGTTCACAGCTTGTAAATGAGGCTAATGGCTCGGGTTCCAAGAAACCGTTTGGTTCGGGTAATAAGAGCCAACAGTGCATTGCTTTCATTGAATCGAAAGGAAGACAATGTGTGAGGTGGGCAAATGAGGGTGATGTTTACTGCTGTGTGCATTTAGCTTCTCGTTTCACCACCAAACCGATAAACTCAGAGATCTCTCCTGCTGTTGAAACGCCAATGTGCGGAGGAGTCACTGTTCTTGGCACAAAGTGCAAGCACCGGTCTCTACCTGGATCATCGTTCTGCAAGAAACACCGTCCTCATACCGGTATGGAGAAACCAGCCTATTCTTATGCTCAACCCACGAAAAGAAAGTTAGATGAAATCATGTCTATCCCGAAAACAACTCATTGTCTCGAGATAGTGCCTTTTGGAGAAGTTCCTCTACAGGGGGGGGCGTCTTTCGAGGAAAATCTATCAAATGAAGGCACGAGCTTTGGCGAAATGCTTGAGCATTGTAGTAACGATGATGGCAGGTGTGTTGGTTCCTGCTCGGAGAGCAGATATATTCCGTGCCATGAAAGCTCGGCAAGGCACACGTTATACTGTGATCAGCACCTTCCCAACTGGCTGAAACGTGCAAGGAACGGTAAGAGTCGGATAATATCGAAGGAAGTATTTCTAGAGCTTTTGCGGGTTTGTTCATCGCGGAAGGAAAAACTGTGCCTACACCAAGCATGTGATCTATTCTACAAGCTCTTCAAAAGTGTCTTGTCTCTAAGAAACACAGTTCCAATGGATGTCCAACTTCAATGGGCCATTTCCGAAGCTGCGAGATATGATGGCGTCGGGGAATTCTTGTTGAAGTTGGTAAGTCGGGAAAAGGAGAGACTGATAAGGATATGGGGTTTCACTGCCGCCGAAGAAGATCCGACATTATCGTCTTCTTTTGCTAAAGCAGAATCAGCTACTACTCTTCTGGCCACGGCTGGTCTTTGTGATGGTGATAACAGAGAAACCAAAGAGCAAGAGAAATGGTCCTTTCGAGGTTTCGCTTGTGCGATCTGTCTGGATTCTTTCGTGGACAGGAAACTTCTGGAAACTCACGTGGAAGAGAGGCATCACGTTCAGTTTGCCGAAAAGTGCATGCTTCTTCAGTGTATTCCTTGCGGAAGCCATTTCGGGGACAGCGAGCAATTGCTGTTTCATCTTCAAGCTGTTCATCCCTCTATGTGCAAGTTGCCGGAAATCGTTCCACAGGAAAAGCCGCTTATAGAGCCAGAGTCTTCCCGAATACCCGAAACGGCCAATACGTATTCCACTCTGAACCAAAAACGGGAGACTTTAAGCGGCGTGCAGAAGTTTGTTTGCAAGTTCTGTGGGATGAAGTTCGATTTGCTTCCGGACCTCGGCCGTCACCATCAGGCTGAACACATGGGATCGAATGTGCTTAACTCACGCGGCCCGAAGAGAGGAGGGGTGAAGTTCAATGCCTACAGGATGAAATCGGGGAGATTGAGCCGTCCTAATAGATTCAAAAAGGGTCTCGGAGTATCGTCGTATCGGATTAGAAACCGGGTCAATGTAAATATGAAGAGGAGGATGCAAGTATCAAAATCTCTCGGCAGTGAAGGACTGACCGGAATATCACCTGCAACTGATGCCGGGACACTTGGTAGATTAACAGACTCACATTGCTCGGTTGTCGCAAAAATTCTATTCTCGAAGATTCAGAAAACGAAACCCCGTCCTAATAACGTCGACATCTTGTCTGCTGCTCGATCTGCTTGCTGTAGGCTGAGCCTGAAGGCCTCGTTGGAGGCTAAATTTGGAATTTTGCCTGAACTTATATGTCTCAAGGCTGCAAAACTTTGCAGTGAGAATGGTATCCAAGTTCAGTGGCACCAGGAAGGGTACGTATGCCCTAATGGGTGTAAGCATTTCAAGGACCCGAACCTCATTCCTCCATTGGTTCCCCGGCAAGATAATGACGGATTTCGACAGGCTGTGGACTCGAGAGAATACGTGAATGATGGACTAGAAGTGGACGAGTGCCATTGTATAATGGAGTCTCATCATTTCAGTAAGAGACGGCCGAGAAAGGCCACTGTCTTGTGCAATGACATAAGCTTTGGACAGGAGTCGGTTAATGTAGCTTGTGCTGTGGATGATGACGATGATGGTCGTATGAATGAGAAGAGGCCGTGGGAGAGTTTTACTTACATTACAAAGCCAATGCTGAATCAGTCCATGAACCTTGAAAACGAGGTAATCATCTTCTTCTTCTAATGGCTCCTCTCGTGGTATATCGATCAAACCCTTTTCGTGTTGTTATGACTTTTTCTCTCGCCTATACTCTTTTATGGCGGTAGAAGAACCTGCAACTGGGTTGTAGCTGCCGGAGTTCAGCCTGCTCGCCTGAAACCTGTGATCATGTTTACCTCTTTGATAACGATTTTGAGGATGCTAAAGATATACGAGGAAGATCCATGAGAGGCAGATTGCCGTATGATGATAGGGGACGGATCATCTTGGAGGTAACTGGAAATTTTCATGATATATGATCAAAATTATTTTCTTGAGCCTAATCCATGAAAAATGTGGCAGGAGGGTTATCCTGTTTATGAATGCAATGACCAATGTGGCTGCAGCAGAACCTGTCGGAATCGGGTTTTGCAGAATGGAATTCGCATCAAACTAGAAATCTTCAGAACCGAAAAGAAGGTTTGGCCGTCTTCAGCAAAAATCTTTATTTTTCGCCTTATCGATTTTTTTTTTGCTTCGAGCTCAATAATCGACGGCCGTTAACAGGGATGGGGAGTACGAGCATGCGAACCTATCCTACACGGCACGTTTATATGCGAATACGTTGGAGAGGTTATCGATCTGCAAGAAGCAAACAAGAGAGAAAGCAGGTCTATACCGCCTTTTTTTTTTTGAACTTTTTCCGGTGGTTCACCATTTGATTTTGCTTGAGGCAAGAACTCATCATATGTTTTTTTTTTCCTCAGGTATGGGAAAGAAGGTTGCGGCTACATGCGCAACATTAATGCTAATATCAATGATATTGGTAGATTGATTGAAGTAGAAGAAGATTATGTCATTGATGCTACCAAGTATGGCAATGTCTCTCGGTTCATCAATCACAGGTTAGGAAAAGGAAAGAAAAAAAAATCCAAAAAACCACTAAAACCATTGTGTATACGATGTAATAATACCGTATATATAACCATCGTATACGTATGTATACAACTGTGTAGCTGCTCGCCAAACCTCGTGACCCATCAAGTTCTTGTGGAAAGCATGGAGTCTCCACTCTCTCACATCGGTCTATATGCCAATGCCGACGTGAGTTTCTTTTTCTTATGTCGCTTATTTATTTTCTTTCCGAAAATGTTTCAGATTTTTTTTTTGGGGTATAAAAACAGATAGCTGAGGGGGAGGAACTGACGTGGGACTACGGACAGAAGCTGTCGCTGTCTGAACAAGGACATCCATGCCATTGTGGAGCTTCGAATTGCCGCCGAGGCCCTGTCTTCTGCTAAAAGACTGGTTCTTTTTTTTTTCCCCCCTGCTCCTCTCCCACTTTCGGATGCTTTCATCATGGCCATGCAGATTGTTTTAGGGTTTTGAGATTTATTTATGAAGATGCTTCGGGATTTAGATTGTGTTATTTGTTTCTGTTTTTTTTCCATGGAAGGAATTCTTGGACAGGAGAAAAAAGAACACAGGAAATACTGTAGTCTCTGATCATATCTTCATGGGTTTATGGAAGTTATGCCGGTTAATGCCGTACCGAATCCTAACTTACCGATTGGGTATTGGGTCAATGCAAAAAAGGTTGGAAAACTAAAGCCCACATGAGTGATTTTTTTTCTTGATAACCGGATTTTCTGCGTCGAGATCCAAACTAATCAATGGGGCCATAGTCAGCCATGTGATTTGAATTATGCGTTTTCTCTCCAATCTGGTGTTCGAACTCGGGGCGGAACAGACGTTTTGTATCCCCGTTTCACCGGTTGAATTACCTATATTGGATTAGCCCACGTGAGTGATATCTCTACCTAATCCTTATTTCTTTGTATTTTAACAGTTTCGTCCGGAAGTATTGTATTTGTCAAATGCACCCCCGCGAGTGGGACGAAGGGTTCGAATGAATCAGATCGGTATTTAAATTAGGAATTGTATGAAATCTTTTAAGAAGGAACTATATAATGACCTGGATGTATGTATGTAAATACAAGAAATTTAAAACATAGGATTAACCCATACATATATATATATATATGTATATTAATTATGGCACGTCCCATGAGATAACATATAAGGTGCAACCATTGCCCGAATTAAATATTTAGCCAACACCTCCACTGTTCTCCAATCATTTCTATCCCCTACCCACTACGTACATTTAATATTTTTATTTATAGTTTTTTGTATTTTTTTTTTTGAAAAAACGTTAACTACTTACGTATACTACAAGTAATTTAAATGTGTCTTAAATGGAATTTAATATATGTATATATATATACACACACACACACGAAAACGCAATCTTGAGCATTCAAAATACTTCAAAAAAATTGTTTTAGAAAAAATAATGGGACAGAGAATAATAGAAAAAAAAATATTATGGTAAAAAGAAGAAACCTACGTAGAATGGACTGTGTAAAAGTGACACAAGCTATGAAACTTCACTTTCCTAGCGTATAATAAGAAGAATAGACAGACACACACCTTTACCAAAAAAAAAAAAAAAAAAAAAAAAAAAAACAAAAAAAAAAAAAAAAAAAAGAAAGTGACATTCCTAAACCTTGATCAACATAAAAAAGAAACCCTTGTCAGTAAAAAATACAAGTATTAAATCCAAGAAACTATATATTGAAATTTTTATTTTACCATATCAAACGCAATTAGGATTTAATTGTGTTCCAAAATGACATCAAGGTCGTAGGGTCAAGCTCTGTGGTGGGTATCATGCCCTTGGTCTTTCAATTAACAGAAATTATGGCACCACTATTTGGCAACTAGGGCACACATTAAAAAAAAAAATGAAGAAAGAAACTATTGTTATTGTTGTTTGTTATTATTGTTATTGTTATGTGATATAGGGTCGAATTATCAAAATGGTTGGTTGAGTAATTCCCAAGGGAACCATCCGTATGATAGATTAATGGAAATTGATGTTTTAAGGCATTAGGTGAAACGTAGATGTTGCGTTTACGAAGTATATAATGTTGTAGATTCCAAGTAAACCCTCTAATTCAGTCCGCTGGTTTTCTTGCAATGGCAACGACAACCAACCTATATCACTTAACGGCCTTTTTGAAAGTCACCCGAAAATTAAAAATGTTGTTGTCTCGAGCTATATACACCAATGCGACATTTAACCAACATTGCGAGTTCTCAAGAAATCACCCTCTAAATAACACACACATATATGCACATGTATATACGTATACAATGAAACAATATTTCTAATAGTATTATCTAGATGATGAGTTTAAAACACTTTTCACTTTATATGATCGTTTTACCAAAAGGCCGCGGTGAATATAAGGGAGAAAATTGTAGAAAATTTTCCATTTTTAGGAAAATATGTATATAGACATAGACAGTTTGAGAGGAGCTATGCATATATATATATATATATATATATATTAATCATATATGTAATGATAAAGTGAAAGAAATCACGGCTAATGATTAGTTGAGATATTTATTCAATTTGAGTATACCAAATTAAGTAGCATATATAGTTCGGAGTAAGTATGGGTTAGTTGAGATATTCAATTTGGTTGTAATAAATCAAAATGGATAAAGATAGGAAGGAAATTAATATGATTGATATTGACGCCTTGTTGTTTGTTGCCATCACCGAAATACATGCATGGCATGTGTCTACTTACATCATCAACCGATCGCAATCATCCAACTATATATGTCTTTGAAAACAGCAGAACTACATCATGGTAGGGTGTGGTGAATATTCAACAATAGATTGCTGTTGGATGAATTATAATGACACCAAATTGTGTACAAAAATGTTGTCATTGTCTAATTAAGCCGCAAAATCACCTTAAAATGATTAAGAGCAAGTAGTTGTAAGTGATTGCAAATTTGGCATTAGTATAAAATATATCATTGTTTAAATACATGAGAAGGGAAAATATATGTCAAATCCCTGCTCTAGAGAAAAAAAAAATAGGATATGAAAAAAAAATATAATATTAGAAGAAAGAGTG